TTGAATAAAATTCACCAGGAGAGTTTTCTTGACTATCATAACGAGTTCCGGTGGTTGGAGCTTAAAATAAATGAATTTGAAAATGTACGTGTCACTAAGGAGGACCGCCCTACTGTACCTGTTCTGGATCCACGTTCCCCAGCTCTTTGACCCCGTAGTGATGCATGAAGACGTCTGCCTGAGTCGCTCCAGAGCTTCCCTCCACAGCTTCTGGAAACAGATCCCGGACCTCCGCCGCCGTCCAGACGCAGAAAGCTCCCTCCCTCTTCTCCATCTTATCTGCCCCCCCCTCCTTCTTCTCCGGCCCCCCCGACGCCGGGACAGAGTCGGCATCCTCCGCACTGTAGAAACCTCCGGACTGTCCAGAGGAGACGGGAAGAGAAAGTTATCTATTATAATACAGTTTGCATTTTTCATTTAACTTCGCATATAAATAACTTTTTTAAGTTAAGCTTCTATCAATATATTCATTGTATTTTATCTTTAAGTGCACATTTTTATTTTAAATTCTTATGTTTATATAATTATTTTATTACATTTTATTGTATTTTTAGTGAATTCTTTTATTTAACTACTTACTAGTAATGGTTTATTTTCATTTTTTTTTACTTTTGGGGTTTATACACACATTTTATTGGACAGTTTTAATTCAACTTTTTTGAATAATTGTTGTCACTTTTTATATACATTTTTATTTAATTTCTTATGTTTATAAACATATTTTTATTCCATTTTATTTTATTGTTATTTTATTCTAAAATAGAGCAACTGTCACAAAACCTAATTTCCCCTGTTATATATAAATACTCCGATTCTAAATCTATTATTTAACTGCAAGGTGATTTAAGATTAATGTGTGATGGGACTTGTGAGTTAAGACCTGCAAATCTGATGGATCAATTAATCAATTAATCAATTAGCTCCTCTGAAGGCTGTGAGACCTGCATGTAAGTCACTGAAGCTTCACAGTGACAGGAATCAGTAAAAGTGTCTTTCAAAACCTGACTATCCAACATGTCTGCAGACGCTCTTTAAAAAAAGTCTACTTTTACACACACGCTGAGAACTGAAGGAGAGCTCCTGTAGCACTAGAGCTAACTCACACAGTCTGAAGTAAATCACCTCTAAAATGCTAATTCATTATAAATCTACAGGGGTTATCCTGAGTGTGTGGCCTGTTCGCTGCTCCTTAATCAAACAGGGGGTAAGGGGTTTGACCCACAGAGGAGAGGTCCCACCCCTTACACACACACTCACTGTACAGCCCTACACACTGACCTGTAGAAAGAGAGTAGCATAAAAAAGTAATACTCAGGTAAAGCATTGTCCCAGATGTGCTTGATTACAAGAACACACACACACACACACACACACACACACACACACACACACACACACACACACACACACACACACACACACACACACACACACACACACACACACACACACACACACACACACACACACACACACCAGCAGAGTTTATAAAGCTCAGTTTTTAATGACTACATTAACAGTAACCTTCACTGACAAGATAACACTTCCCTAACGTCCCTTTAATATATTTGTGAGGAAGCACCAACTCCGTCACACAAATGTATCCAAGCTTGACAAAGGAAAGTCAGTCTTTATTTCATTAAAAGAGTTAATTGAGGCCTTCTTGATTTATAAAAAAAGAGAGAAAACAATGTTTATTTCTCTGTTTACCTTGTTGCCTGTCATTCAGAGAAGTGCCCTGATTGGCTGAGTTGACTCGGACTCACCTTGTCACTCAGGTCTCTGGAGACGTACAGCAGAATGTCTTTAGCCACGTCGGCAAACAGCTGCTCACCTGAGACCTGGACAGGTAGACACACAGAACACACACCTGGTGAGAGACGTCCTTAAAGATACCATCGTGGGATTAAGAAGCAGGGACTTAAAGACTTCAAAGCAAATGCTTCATTCATTAAACACAAACTATAGGTGTGTGTGTGTGTGTGTGTGTGTGTGTGTGTGTGTGTGTGTGTGTGTGTGTGTGTGTGTGTGTGTGTGTGTGTGTGTGTGTGTGTGTGTGTGTGTGTGTGTGTGTGTGTGTGTGTGTGTGTGTGTGTGTGTGTGTGGCCTAGCATTAGCATCCTTGTAATTTTAGGGTGAAGACAGAGTTAGGGTGAGGCATGTGTTGGAGATATTTGTCTTGTCATATACATAAAGAAGAACACACAGCCACAGAGACAGCTCACACACACACACACACACACACACACACACACACACA